GGTTAATCCTGTACCAGCTGTGAATTGGAGCTTTTTAAACTGAACTGAAACGAGCCGCTCAACAATTTGCCACAAATTATAAATCAACAAACATTCACAACTATCATTCACAAATGTTTGATGACAGTTGTAACCTGTCCAGTTTAAAAGCTTAGTGAACAATTATTTTTTCCATATACAATTTGGATTGTTATCAAAGGATTATCTTTGATTATATAAATTATAAATATTAAGTTTTATTTAAAACAACAAAAAGTAAGAAATTAAAATCTGTAAAGGGGAATAAACTCTTTTACGTTTTTAAAATTCTACATACAGTCATATGAAAAAGTCTGGGTACCCCTATTAATCTTTATTATTTTTATTTCTAAATATTTGGGTATTTGCAACAGCTATTTCAGTTTGATATATCCAATAACTCATGGACACAGTTATATTTCCATATTGAGGTTTATTGGACTAACAGAAAATGTGCAGTATGCATTAAAACAAAAACTGAAAAGTGCAACAATATGGGCACCTCAGCAAAAAAAGAGACATTAATATTTAGTAGATCCTCCTTTTTGCAAAAACAACAGCTTCTAGTCTCTTCTTGTAGCTTTTAATAAGTTCCTGGATCCTGGATGAAGCAATTTAACATTCATCTTTGCAAAACAATTCCAGTTCAGTTATGTTTGATGGTCGCCGAGCATGGATAGCCTGCTTCAGATCATCCCACTGATGTTCAATGTTATTCAGGTCTAGAGATTGGTATGGCCATTCCAGAACATTGGAATTGTTCCTCTGCATGAATGCCTGAGTAAATTTGGAGCTGTGTTTTGGATCGTCTTACTGAAATATCCATCCCCGGCGTAACTTCAACTTTCTAACTGATTCTTGATCATTATTCTCAAGAATCTGCTCATATCGAGTGGAATCCATGCATCCCTTAACTTTACAAAGATTCCCAGTGTCAGTGTTGACAACGTAGCCCCAAAGCATGATGTTTGAAATTTTAGATTGGGTAAACGTGTTTTTCTTGGAAGGCTGTATTTTTTGCCCCTCAAAATAACTCAATCTTTGTTTCATCAGTCCACATGAACTTATTCCCAAATTAAGCTGGTTTGTCCAAATTTCCTTTTGCATACCTCAAGTGATTCTGTTTGTGGCGTTCTTGCAGAAAAGGCTTCTGACGCATCACTCTCCCATACAGCTTCTCCTGGTGCAAAGTGCGCTGAATTGTTGAACGATGTACAGTGACAACATCTGCAGCAAGATGATGCTGCAGGTCTTTGGAGGTGGTCTGTGGATTGTCCTTGACCATTCTCACCATTCTTCTTCTCAGCCTCTCTGATATTGTTCTTGGCCTGCCACTTCTGGGCTTAACAAGAACTGTCCCTGTGGTCTTCCATTTCCTTACTATGTTCCTCACAGTGGAAACTGACAGTATAAATCTCTGAGACAACTTTTCTCATCCTTCCCCTGAATGACTATGTTGAACAATCTTTGTTTTCAGATCATTTGAGAGTTGTTTTGAGGTGCCCATGATAAATCTTCATCGATTCAAACAGGAGAACATCTTGCAACTGGCACCTTAAATCCATTTTCTCATGACTGGATGGACCTGGCTATGAAGTTCAAATCTTAATTAAGTTACCAAACCAATTTTGTACTTCAGTAAGTCAGTGAAAATTAGTTAAGGGTATTCAAATCAATAAAATGTTTAGGGCACCGAAATCTTTTCACCTGTCAAGTTTTGTTTTAATGCATACTGCACATTTCCTGTTAGTTCAATCAACCTCACTTCAATACTTAAATATTACGGTGTCCATCAGTTAGTAGATATATCAAACTGAAATAGCTGATGCAAATACCCAAATATTTAGAAAAAAAGATTAATAGGGGTGCCAGAACTTTTGACTGTATATATATATATATATATATATATATATATATATATATATATATATATATACATATATA